ACGAGGTGGGGAAGCCGTGGGTGAGCGGGGCGCAGACCCTCGTGAGCATCAGGGAGCAGGCCGTGGCTGGAACAGAGTGAGGGAGAGGGACCGAGCGCAGATGGAGGTGTGGGGGGTGGCGAGGATGAATGGGTGTCAGATAAACAAGGGTCCTGTGGTCGGTCTCAGGAGCTAAACGGTGGACCGGGGAAGAGATGGTGTTGGGCCAGAAACATTGCTTGTGAGCAGGGCAGGTTCCTGGGCCCCGGCCCGGAGCCCCTGAATCAGAACCTGCATCTTGACAAGGTGCTGGGTGAGGCACGTGCACGCAGAAACGGGACACGCCTAGTTCTAAACCCCACTGGGCCAGCTGCTCCGTTGCCGTACTTCTCAGGGCCTTTACTCCACGGTGAGGATCACAAACCCCCCAGAGAGAGCAAAGGTGAAACGCTTCCCAGATGGGTTTGACCATGCGACCCGTTACCCCGTGCACCTCCGGTGATCAGGGTGCCACAGAGCTCACTTCGGGAGGTGCCGTTTCCCCAGGCCTGCCGTGGCCCCTCCAGCCGGGGGGCCCTGCTCAGCTGTGTGGCCGGGCCCTGGTTTGGGGCTGCCTTCCAGAGGGTGTCGAGGACAGACTAGACCAGGTGCTCCTGGATTTGAGCCCTGACCTAAGCCGCTGTGGGCCTGGGCCAAGCTTAAGGGGCCCGCCCCCGCGCCGACTCAGCTTCTGCTACGCTGGAGATCATCCCCGGGCCACTGGGGAGGGTGCACGAAGCGACGTGCGTGAAGAGCGTGGCACGTGCTCGCTCCGCGTCAGGCGTCACATCGGGGGCTTTCAAACGCTCTGCAGACGGGGCGTGCTTTGCAAAGCTGTTCCACGGCCGGCCCTGCGGACCCCACGGCCGCCCCGTGAGGTGGGTGGCTCCTGGGGAACTGCCGCCGTCCCGGTGAACGGCTTCCCGTCGGAAGAGAGGGGGGACGGGCCGGAATCTGGATCCGTCAGGCTCCAAACCCCTGGCCTCTGCAGGGCCTGCCCTGGGCTGGCACCTCATTCCCCGCAGTCCCTGGTCAAGGGGACCCTTGGTCTGGCCCCACATCCGTCACCTCCTCCCTCCTTCCTGCCCTCCCGCCCACACCCTGCTGTGCTCACACCCTGAGCTGGGACAGCAGCAGAGCCCCGGTAGGCCCATCTGGCGGTCATTCGCAACTCGCCGGGAGCCCTGCCCCCGCCTCCCTGCCTCCTCCCGCTTACTGCTGACTCCAGGCTCCCCATCTTTGGGGACACAGTGCGCCTGCTTCTCCCGTCAGATCAAATATTTACAGCAGATGTGCCTGCCCGCTCAGCTGTCCTTGTTTATTGGAGGAGCGGGGCAGGGAAACATCCGGTGTCCCCTGCTCCCGCCCCAGTGGGGCCGCAAACCCCTGCCCGCTGCACCTCCCTCCCCCGGCGTCCTGGGGACACGCCCAGGCCTCGCCCTGCGCGCAGGATCTCCCCTCTGCCCGCGGTGGTCCCAGCGGGCTCCTGGGGCCTTCGTGCCTAGATTGCTCTCGCGGTCATCGGGGCCAGCTGGGCCGTGGGGGCTGCCAGCCACGCTCCGTGCCTGTGACCCCACCCGGGGGCGCTGGGCCAACAGACTGTTGGACAAGGACACACAGTCCGTCCGCCTAACATGGAGCATCCGGGGGCAGCCAGCTCTGTGTGCAGGGCTCCGGGACCAGGTGCTGGCCGGAGCCTGGCCCTGAGGCCCTGCCTGGGGAGCAGCCCCCACCCCGCTATCCCAGGAGCCCCGGCCACGTGAGATCACAACGCTGCCGGGGAGCGTGGCGGGATGCCCCCTGCCCCGCCGCCGTGCCAGCTTGGTCTCCCGTCTGTGGCCTGGGCCGGCGGGGGGCTGCACCTTCGCGGGGATTCACGGCCCGCCTTACAGGGGCCCTCGGAACCGCGGCCCGCAGGAGAGGCAGGCGGTGTGACCCGCTCTGGGTTTGGGTGCTCAGCCTCTCCCACGTTGCCAGCGGCGCGGTGACCCCTCACGGGGGCAGGAATGTGCGAGTCGATTCATATGAAGCTCACAGGAGCCGTCACCCCCGGGGCAGGAGGAGCGGCAGCCTGCACAGGCAGGAAGTTAAGTGACCTGCCCAGAGTCACCCAACAGAGCCCGTGTGGCCTGGCTGCCGGGCCCACAGCGCGCGGGCTGTGTGGACATCAGATGACGGGTTTGCCAAAGCAGGGGACGAACCCTAACCCTTCGTTACCGGGGAGTCATCGGCTCAGCGGACCCCCGGCCGCACCGATTTCCCTTTGGCCTGGGTTCCCGTCTGCGGACAAGGGAGTTCAGGGTCTGTGTCCACAGGGCTTCTGTGACCAGGTCTGCCCGGGTCTTGGCGTAGAGGCCTCCCCTTGCACCCCGGGCCCTGGGAACGGAATGGGGACTCCTCCCCCAGCGTCTCTGAGACCAGGGGCTCCACAGCCTGCACCGGTTGCTTCTGGCCTGGGGTTCCCCTCCCGCCACCCCCACCAAGGACCCAAGACCCCGGAACCCTCTGCTCAGCCCGACACCGTGCGTGGCTACACGGCGGGGCTCTGCAGAGGTGGGGGTTGCTGCCCCGCCCTGCCGGCCCTCCGCCCGCAACCCCAGGCTCCCAGCTGGCCCCGGCCAGCCAGGAGTCCAGATGTTTCCACTGCCCTCACAGCGAGCAGCCGGTGCCCGTGCGGTCCCCACCCTGCTGAGCCAGCCAAGGGGAGGCCGGTCGGGTGGCGGGGGGGGGGGGGGGGGGTTGCTGGCAAGGGAGGGGAGGATGTTTGGCGTCTTCAGACCTCCCGGGACCTCCTTTCCCAGCTCACGCTCCTAACGTGTTCGACAGATGGCGGGCTGGCCCCCGTTCAGCTATCCAAATAGAAAAACAGGCCCAGCAGCCGGCTGCTTGATCGGGTCCGGGCCGATGCGCTGACGGGGCCGGGGAGGCAGAGGCAGGAGAAGCCGTGGCGGGTCGGAAATGCAGGAGAAAGTCGGGGAGTTGGATCTATTTACAAATACTTGGAACTTCTGGCTCTCCCAAGCAGCCTGCCGCTGGGCCCCCGTCCAGCCCCACCCGCCGCCCCCGCCCCCCACAGCCCTGTGGGGAAGGGGCCGCCTGCGCCCAGCACACGCGTGGGGGTGGCGGGGGCGTGGGGCCCCACCCTGGACTGTCGTTCTCCTGTGCCCTATCGTCCTTCCCCGTAAACGTGGCACCGCATTGTCGTGTCTGTCCACCCGTGGTTGGCAGGACCGTGGGAGGTGACACCTGTGACTGCTCGTGTGCATGGTCTGGGTTCCACACTGCTCGAGGCGGGGCCGGGAGCCCACAGGAGCGGGGAGAGCAGGGGCCCCTGCCTTTATTTATTT